ACTGTGAACAGTTCTTTTTTTTTTTTTTGGGGGTATATTTGAAAAAAGGGAGAGCGATATTTTCCCATACAAAGTTTGGCAAAACAACACTTTTTCACCTGTCAAGTTTCAAAATGACACTTTCTCACGTTTTGTCAAGTTCTGTTAATATTTAACTAAAAAGACGAAAATACCCTTATATGGTTTATTTTTTAATTAGTTTATTATAAATTAAAATTTAGTTAAGTTAAAGTTTTTACTCGATTATTTATTAGTTCAAGTGTAAAGATATCTTTTTTCCTTTGTTTATTTAATTAATTAGAAATATTTATTTTCTATGTTAATTAGTAAAAATGAAAAAAATTATAATATGAAAAACATTATAAATTTAGTAAATTATTGAATAATAGTGATGGGATATTGATGACATTATAAATAAATATTAATTTGTTTAAATATTTTTAACTATCTTATTCATACTATTTCCAAAATAATAGTTTGTTTTCCCATTCTGAAAATACTATTATATTTTCTTTAACCACTTTTAAACCCCTTAAGTTTATTAATTTAATTAAACACCCCCAGAAAAAAGTTTAAAAATTAACAAAAACACCCCCACCCATCCACATTTTCCAAATTTCGGCCACCACCGTCAGAAAGTGGCCAGAATCTGGTATAATAGCGCACTATCGGCTGGATCTAGAGTGTCCCGATCTATCATTTTTCGGTGGATCTGGCCGAAAAATGCAAGATCCACGGCCAAAGATCTGGCCGTTGACGACCATATCTTTGGTCATCATTGAAGACCAAACATGGCCAGATTTGGTCGTAGATCTGGCTAAAAAATGTCATCTTGGCGCACGACTGATTAGATCCAGTCAGTCGTGCATCGATACGGTGACTTCGACCACCCTCAGACGGTGGTGACCGGCTGCTGAAATTTAATGGGTGGGTGGGGGTGTTTTTATAATTTTTAATGTTTTTATTACATGTGTGTTTAGCTATTTAACAAACCTAGGGGTTTAGTTAATTTTCAAATTCTACTTCATTATTCCCACCCAACTCTAAAAATATCCAAAATACTAAAACAAACACACCATTAGTCATTTAACTTTTAACCATTTCATAGCATTACTCTTAACTTTTGAGGTGGGACTAACTATTTTTCTTTTTTAGCTTTTTAATATTTGTCTTTTTACTAATTAAAAAATAATAAAACATTTATAAAGTCAAATATTTAAGGGTATTTTTGTCTTTTCACCAAAATATTAACAGAAAACATAACAGAATCTAATGAAGGGTGGGAAAGTGTCATTTTGAAACTTGAAGGGTGGGAAACTATCGTTTCGCCAAACCTTGGGTGGAAAGATGTTGCTCTCCCTTTAAAAAACACAAATGTCGATAGAGGTGGGCAAGGATCGGGCCCAATCGGTCCGATCCCAAATTGGGACCAAGCCCAATCAGTCCCAAGATCGGTCATAAGCCCATGCAATTTTTCAAGTCCAGAACTGGTCATGGGCCCATAGGACCGGTCCCAGGACCGATCCTATGGACCTGGAAAATTTTAATATTGCCCCTAATACATAAAATTTTAGTTTAGCCCCTATATTTATTATCTATTTCGTATTAAATAGGGGGATTTTGAATGTTTACTAGGGGCTTAAACGAAATTAGGCGGGAGGGTTAGGGACCGGGCCTAAGACTGGTCCCAGGCTCGAGCCTTAGAGGAGGGACCGAACCTAGGCCTGGGCCCTCCTCCATGGGCCTGGTCCGGTTTTTGGACCGAACCTTATAGGATCGATCCTTGTGAGGACCAATCCTAGGCCCGATTTTTTGGATGGGTTTTTTGGGTCCATGCCAATATACACTAAAGTGTAAAAGTATAATATTTTAAAAATGGGAAAATTTTGTCCAACCTAATTTAAATTTGAATATATATACTGTAGCAATAAAAATAGTAAAAAAAAAAAAAAAAGCTCAGAAAATTTATTATTGTTTTATCAGGTTTATTTTATGAGTTAACGAATTTTTTCCACCCAAATAATGGCTTAATGACACTTTTCCATTCATAAACTTTTAAAATACCATTTTATTATCCAAATTTATATTCAAGCGACGAACAGAGAGCAAACTCGGTCTAGGCTGTTGGGGCTTTTAAAGAGGGGAGGCTGATGAGTCTTTTAGTGGTGGAAGGTTGGATTTTGGTGGTTGGGATTGATAGGAATTTAACTTGAGGGGGGCTACTGCACAAACCCTAATCACTCAATTGTGGACGATTGGCAGAGTCGGCGGGAGTAGGTTCAAGGGGTTTTAGTGAGTAATGATCAAGGAAGAGAGTGGTGGTGGTGTAAGGTCGCAACGATACCAGAATCGGAAATAGAATATAAATTTGAGTAATAAAGTGGTATTTTAAAAGTTTGTATGTGAGAAAATGTCATTAAGCCATTATTTGAGTGGGAAAAAGTTGTTTACTCTTTATTTAATACACTCTTTTGTGCGATTGTTTAATATGAGTATGTCCAAGCTTTTCGGAAACCATCAAAAATCTTCTTATAATTATTAAATATCCCTTAAATTAATAAAAATCTCCCATCTCAAAAAGTTTTAATAATCATAAAGAGGTTTTTAAGAGTAATATTACATATGCAAACTATTTATATAAAATATTCTTTACAGATTGATATGACAATCCTGCATGTTTACTAGGGGTGTTCGGTTCTGGGTATCCTACATTTTTTGAAGGAACTGAAACCGACGATTCCCTGAAATTTGGAACCAAAACTCACGATTTCGATTTTGATTCCTGGGTACCTAGAACCGGAACCTATAACAATGGTTCCGGTTATAGTACTGGGAAAATTCTTTACCCCTCAAAAGTTTATAAAATGATAAAAAACCCTTAAAAACTTACAAATACCCCCCCAACACTTGTTAATAAAATTACAAAGATATTATAAACCCTTCAAGCCTTCCACCTCCACTTCAACTTTATGGAAACTAAGAATTTCACATTACAAATCACAATAATCCGTTGAAAAAACAGAAATTCAAAATTACAAACTCCAAAATTAAAATTACACATCCCACTCTTTAATGTTATTGTCATATTAGTCTCGGTTCTGGTTCCTAACTGCAAGAACCGAAACCGGAATCGCACAGTATCAGTTCTAAATTTTTGGAACTGAAACCTACTCGTTGACGACCGATTTCGGGTAGAAACCGGAACTAAACCCCAGATACCTATCGGTTCCGATTCCGATCGGTTCTTTTGAACACTCCTAAATTGTTTACCATATAATCTCTTTTAATTATTTAATTTATTTTTAAATTTAAAGTTATCTAATCATCTTAAAATGCATCAATGTGTATGAGAGAGTTTGTATATGAAATATTATCCGATTTTTAATAATTTTCAAAAACTTTTGAGTGTCTTAAAAATCAAGCAAACATGAAAAAGGTTTATAAAATAAACGCTCATTGTATCAGATAATATTAATTTAACGTGATTAAAATATATTAAAATAAAGTGTAAGTATATAAAAGTAAAACTCCTTCGAGACTAAGTATACTTGTCACTCGCTCAAACGTTGCACCTCAAACTAAAATCTGTAGTTTGATAGCGGTGTTGGAGATATGGTAATCTCCAAATTGACTCAGCTTCAACGTCAAGGATATTGATGACTGTGTTCTAGATGACAAACAAGTGTTTCATAATGACTGGGAAATAATTTTTTGTAGTGAAAATTCAACACACAGAGATAATACTATTGACTTTCAGCTGCCACACATTAACATTCCTTGTTCCGAAAGCAAACTTAATCCAATTTCCTTTTTATCTCATTCTCTTTCAAAAAATCTCTCTTTTGAAAAAAAAAAAAAAAAATTGTAAATGTTGCCATGTTGGTTCAATATATAATATGGTATTATGTATCTCTTTTAGAGTGAACGACTTTTCCCACCCAAGGTTTGCCTGAATGACACTTTCCCACTCAAAAAATTTTAAAATACTATTTTCTTACCCAAAGTTTATATTATGTTAATATTTGAAATACATTTCATTTTCTCATTCGATATTCGACGGGTTACCAGAAACCAGGGTAAGAGATGTTTTGTAGAATAGAGACCGGTGGATCGAATGGTGATAACCGATTGAATATTTGTCCTTAGAATCAACCGAAAATTAACTAAGAATAGGAAGCCCTATCTTTGTGGTAGCCGGTAATCGGCAAGAAATCAGGTGTTGAAGTGAAAGTGATTTTGTAGAGAGGAGACCAGATGTTCAAATAGTGGTGACGGAGAGAATTTTCGTTGTCGAAATCAACATTGGGTAATAATGAAATGTAAACTTTGGATAGAAAAGTGATATTTTAAAACTTTTTAAGCGAGAATATTCACTAAGGCAAACCTTGGGTGGGAAAAAGTCATTTACTGATCTACTTATCTCTTTTAGATAAGAATCACAACCAAAGGTGACTAATAACTAATAGATAAATATATCTTAAAATGAGTACATAAGATATTTTTGGATGGAAGCATAGATTTGGACACATCACGTGTGCCTTTTCAAAATGGTTTTCCTTATTTTTGTCATATTGTAATTGAGAAAACATTAAGACATTATTAAAACGATAAAATTTCGTCCTAATTTTATCTTGTAATTGCTTTATAGGCTCAATCTAAATAATGTAATATATGTCTTAAAAATTAATCTATCGTATTAAATTAATAAAATGAATAAATGTATAAATAAGATGATCTAAAACCATTATATTAACAGATTTCTTCGAAGGCAGAACCAACACGGCATGAACACTTTGACTAATGAGTAATGACGTAGACCTTTCAAAAGATGCAGCCCTAAATTTGCGGTAACATTTTAATTATGTCAATCAATACTCAGGTGGGATGCTCAGACTTGTTTGCCAGTTGAATTTTCCACAACAGGATAAATATTAATCTTCAGTAACGTATATCCACACGGCACCCAACCCTATATATACCTCCATTTATACATCATTTTACCTCATAGCCAGATTTACAGAAACCAAACCAAATTAAAGCAATGGCCATCATGTCTGCCCAACTTATATTTTCCCTCACCTTAGCCTTCCTCGTCTCTGGTATGCATTTCATTCTCTTCATTTTATTTCTTTATTGTCGTTAATGTATATAAATAACAAGTATTTGATTAGTAATGATGCACATTTAATTGGTTTCCATATGCAGGAGCTCACTTGGCAACTGTATCCATTACAAACAATTGTCCATACACCGTTTGGCCAGGAACTCTCGCCAACGCTGAGCATCCTCAATTAGCAGAAACCGGGTTCGAGTTACCCTCTCGAGGAACAAAGACCCTCAACATTCCTACTGGATGGGCGGGCCGCTTCTGGGCCCGAACACAATGCTCCGGCAACTTCAAGTGTGTCACTGCAGACTGCGGCTCAGGTCAAGTCGCATGCAATGGTAAAGGTGCAATCCCACCTGCATCCTTGGTCGAAATAAAGTTCCAAACAGAAGACGGACAAGATTACTACAATCTTAGTCTCGTTGATGGCTTTAACCTTCCTATTGCTGTCGCCCCACAAAATGGCAGTGGTCCTAAATGTATTAAACTCACATGCTCAGCCAATGTGAACGCGAAGTGCCCGGCGGAGCTACAAGTGAAAGGACCCAACGGAAATGTGGTTAGTTGCAAGAGTGCATGTGAACAATTTAAAGACCCAAAGTACTGTTGCACTGAAGCTTTTAAAGATAACTGCCCGCCAACGAACTACGCTACGATTTTCAAGAACCAATGCCCTCAAGCTTATAGTTACCCTAAAGATGATGCTAGTAGCGTGTTTGCATGCAAGGGGGCTAACTACGCTATTACTTTCTGCCCATAAGGGATACGCTTGTTGAAACTCTTTGATATACTATATTAGATATATATGACTAAATAAAACTCAGTCCGTATAGCTTATGGATGATGATGCAGATAATTTTCTTTCAAGAATTTGTTATATGTAATAACAAATGAAGAAATAAATAATTCTCATTATACTTTTCTTTACTTGTTTGACGATTTATAGCTTCTTTACTTGTTATTTCTTTCAAAAATGTAGTGCCTTTACACATTCAACGTAAGTTAAGCCTATGATATAAAACAGAGACGAAGATAGTTGGTTTTTATGTAGATGTTTGTGTTTTTGTTCTTGCCTTATCAATGGGCTGGTGGCATTTGGGCTCCAGCAAACTTCCTTTTGGATGCCCAAAATCAAGATTACTTTTCAACACGAGATTGCCCAACTGGAAAAATGACTCTCAAAAACTCAGGATAATTCTCCCACTGACCCGGTTACCCTATTCAATGTAAATAATAACCATCTAATTTACAAATGTTAAAATTTTCAGTCCTGGGAATTTAAATGTAATGACCTTATCAGGCCTGGATTGTGTAGTGTTCCTCAATGATATGTATTTTATGTTTTTATTCATATCTTCAATATTTAAGGAATATCTTGAGTATGAGAAAATTTAGAGAAGTATTACTTGTCAATTATGAGACTTTAGATTACTTACCAAACTACCCATCATTAGAGTATAAAATTGGAATATTTAGTTAGTATTTATAATATTATTATACTCTTATAGAATATCAACTGAAAATTAGTAATACTCAAGAAAGGTGGATAAATCAAATAACGAAAACTTGAATATTCTGAATTAATAAGCCAGGTACATATAAACCCTAGAATCCATGCACATATTTATATCCCACTCATTAAATGAAGTCCATTATGATATGAGTCAAGACATCTGGATTTCATCCCTAACCAACTTTATATGATATGTATCGAATTATCATACCAAATACTTATAAAATTATCAAAATCTTGTGATAATTTTTAAACTACATTGTTTGTGTTAGTGATGTGTATGGTAAAGGCCTAAAGCGTGATTGTATCACCCAATAGCTATAGAGCCATAGTTAATTTCGTTAATAGCTTATGATGAGCTGTAGCTCAACAAAACACATAATAAAGGAAAAGCAAAGAGAAAAAGAGATCAAAGGTTACCCAGCGTTTTCCAGAATTTGTTTTGGGTTATTTTTTTTTTTTTTTTTCCTTTCCTCCAATCTCTGTGAAAATTTTCGGTCCAAAGCAATGGCGAAGAAGACAACCCAGATGAAAAAGAGGGAGAAACTGAAGCAAATTGATAACATACCAAAATATTCTCAAAAACCCAGAAGCCCTGCACTCAAACGTCGCCGTACTGACTTCTCTGTCTTCTCCTCCTCCTATTCTTCTTCTCTTTGCAATTCAGGTCTTTCTCTCTAGATTTTAATTAATATCATATAACCTCATGTGAAATGGCAAAACCTTTCCTCAAATGTGTGTTGCTGCTTCTGAATTTCGTTTCTTTTTTTTTGTGATTTTGTAACATTCGTGCTTTAATTTATCCATAATTCAATGTTTGCCTTGATTCATTAAAATGCAACAATGTAGTAGCTCTTGAATTTTCTGCTTTAGGTGGCTGATTCTGAAGGCTATGCGGTTCAGTTGAAACCCCCATTCACATTGTGATCTGATAAATTTTCTTAGTTTCAGAGGGCAATGTTTTGCTTCATTAAACTAGAATTGCATTTCGTTAGATGTGAAACTATTATGTAGAATAATTTTCATTTGATGGGTTTTGAATGTGATAAGATGTTTTGTTTCTCGGAGAAAGAAATGGCTAAGATCCTATGAAACTCATATAGTTACTTATAATAGTACATTGAAATTATATTTTTAAATTTGTAAAGTGGGCAAAAAAAATACGGCCAGCTATCATAGTGAGATTTTGATGCACCCTTTTTTATTGTCATTTAAGTTCTTGCATTATCTCATCCGATGTAAGGTTTGTTCAAGTATGTGAATCTGAGATACTTCTTATTTTCTTGCATCTTTGTAGCGTCACTGAACCCTAACATCTTTGCACAATTTATGAATAGGTTACTTACTGGGGCAATCATCTGTTAGAGATGGATTGTCCAGTGGCACTATAAGTAGTTCAGCTGACAAGCAGGACCATGGGAAAATGTTGCATGAGCTTCCTTTTGTTCACTTCTGCAAATACCAGGGTCAAGGAGCCGGATTATTTTCTAAATTCTATGAAGCTCCAGTAATGGAAGCAGAATCAGTTGTCCGTAATGCAGTAATTGACCTTTGTGGTGACAGGTTTGTCCAAATGCTATTATGCCCTGGCACCTTGCCATGCAGGATGTTGTCAGCTTGAGTCCTTTGTTTTCTCAATTATTTAGCTTTTATTTCTTAATGATATGTAGGAAACTTGGCAAAGAAACAAATGATAATGTAGAGATATTGGAATTTACCCCAAATAGATCAGAGGTTATGGAAAGAAATGGAGTTTGCTTAACTCCTGGAAATGTGGTATGGGCTAAAACAGCTTGCGAGATGTGGTGGCCTGCTGAAGTAGGTTATTGTTACTTTCATGTTGCAACTCAATATGAACCTGAGATTATTTATGTGTTTTCCATTTAGACAATGTTTATATGCCTTTTTCTTCCAAAGGATATTGTGTGCTAACCCTTGAAGCCTTGCTCTTAAAGTTAGTTGTATAAACATCTAAAAAGTTAGGCATCAAGAAAGGACTGAATATTGCTTTGATTTTTCTTAAATGTGGACTCAAAGTGCAGACTTCTCTATTGTGAGTGTTAAGTCAGTTTTGACTAGCTCGCCTGAACGTTGAGTTGCACTTATATTGGAGAAGTTCGTGTTTAAGTCTGCATCAGAGATTTGACTATGTTTTGCTTAATTTATGTGATCCTTAGTAAACTTATTTGACTGTGAAAAGACTTTTATGCATTTGAATGCCCTTTTTTTCAGTATTGATGATCCCTCATGCATGGAGCTTTTTCCATGATGGAAAATTCAATATCAGATAATCAATAAGATTTTGTTAATGTTTTCAGATCATTGAAGAGAAATCCCCTTCTACTGATTCAACAAATCAAGGGAGTGATGGACATGTTTTGGTACAATTTTTTGGGAACTTTAACAGGTAAGATTCCTAAATTCTGCTTGCTGTATATCTTTAAAATTTCCTGATCTTGGCTTAGTGTGAGCTAAAATATTTATAAATTGCTTTTCAGTGCTTGGGTTGATCCAGCTAGAGATGTTTCAGAGCTTGAGGATGTGAGTATCTGGGTTGCATTCTACCATCCCGAAAGATGAAGCTGACTTTGTCCCTTACTATTTACTAAGCTAGTTACATTCAACTTAACAATAGGTCCCATTTGTGTCAATGTGTAATATGATCTTGCATGATCTTTTCTCTTTTCCAGTGCTTTGAAGAAAGGTGCTGCAACTCTACGGAAAATTTTCAAGATGCTTTAAAACAAGTACTTGCTGATCCCTAATGAAATTGCAATAATACTTCCATGATTACTCCATTTTGCACCATGTCGATTGTACATTTATTTGTTCTGTTGTATTGTTTGCAGGCATTGTTACAGAGGAAGGAACATATAAGTTCATGCCAACAGTTTCTCCAAAGCCCTGATGGGTCCAATCTCTCAGATCGGCAAGACCAGTTGTCTGGTATGCAGTTTGACTTTTCCTCTATGTGATGCTTTCTACCTCCAACTATATCTGAAAAGTAAAAAGACAATAATTGAATATCACAAAGGTGTTAATATAGAAGATTATTCATACTGTTTAAAAGAGTTTCATTCTTGTTTTCTTAAATAAATTTAGTGTAGCTGTACAACTGCTGATGCTACAAGCAGTGGGGTTATATTGCCTTCTTTTTTCTTTCCTTTTTTTTTTTTTTTTAAAATATTCATATTATATAACTGCATCCCATTAGCTTCTTCCTATGTAAATTTTAGTTGGGAGTACAAGTGATTTTGCTGGTCTTCATTTCATTGTTTTAGAAGATTGTTGCATGAAATGCTTGGGCATGCTTCCTTTTCTCCCATCGATATTCTGATTTTTCAGCATCTTGTTTGTACAGATAAATGGACTTCATCAACTTCTAGTGGAATGGTTACCAATCTCCCTAAAAGAGGTGAAGAGAAGAGAGAAAGGAAGCGAAAAATTCACTTTGATGTAAGTGGCCTTCATAAGTTTAGCCTATCTATTGTGACTACTTAAATGGTTCCATATTTACAGTTTCTTGATCATCTCTTGTAGGAGGTGACATTTCCTCTAAAATCTACAAGGAAGATCCGCAGGTTAAAGATAATGCGGTACCTTGGTCTCATAGCTCCAGTTGGTTCTCCATTTTAACATTACACACAGTAACATAAAAAAATTTCCTTTCTTAGTCAATTGTTTGTTATCAGTTGTAGCAAATAGGTTGTATACAGATGAGCAGTTTTGTAGGTGAAGAAAGTTTCATCCTTATTCATCTTTATCCAATGCTCTTTACTCCATGTTTATATTAGTCCAATATATATATATATATATATATATTTGGATAAACCCGATAATTGTATAGAAAGAAGAAAGAATACAGTCTAGGAGAGGGGGCTTCCGCTCCCCTACAAGCTAAACAAACACCTTGGACAGGCCCAAGGGTTCAGCAAAACGAAAGTCCGGAGACACAAGGATATACAATCCTAAACAAGCAAGCCCAAAACAAAAACAAGGCCTAGCAAAAACAAAGCCCTACAAATCTATACAAGCTGCATGATGCAACCCCAAAAGAATCAGACCACAACCGGCACAAGGCCCAGAGAAAGGAAAGGCCACTACTAATAGCCCATTACTTTAAAAAGAACAAAGCCCATCCAGCCAAGATTCCCCCAAGCTTTCTTGCTGGCCCAGAGTAGCCCCAATCCTCCTTATCAAAAGTTTATTTTATTAAAATCTAATATATATTTTTCAATTAAAAAAATTAATGAATATATTTATAAGATTCAATTCAAAAAAATTGATAAGAGATAGAATTGGTTGAAAGAGCCAAAGAGGAAGGTCGAATGAGAAAGATGCAATGTTTATTGCAAGTGTAAAATTAATGCTAAATAAATTGGATGACTTTAATATGTATTATTTACGTAAAATAAATTATATTCTTTTAAACTTTGAATTATTTAATACAATTCAGTTTTGTCATCAAACATTGTATTGTACTATTTAGTAATGCTATATTGTTTACTTAGGTTACGTTTGGCACACCAAATTGGATTGAATTAATTTTTTTTTTTGTATTAAATTGAAGTTAAAAGAATAGGATTGAAGTGAATTAAATTTAATACTATCACCTGTTTGGTGCAATACAGACTAAATGTATAATTAATTATTTAAATAAAATTTTAAATTGGTTTAAAAATTTGAAAATAAAAAAAAGAAATGGCCGGCGAGTCGGCGACATTGCTAATGTTGTTGGGTAGATCGTTGGACGACTATCCAATGGGGTGACGGCTATTACTTGGAAAATGCTAGAGACTATTTCAACAAATACTCTTCTTCTTGGAGGAGCTTCCAGCAACACCACCAGCATCGTTGGGTAGATTGCGGTGATAACTTTAAGTCTTCAAGTGAAGCCATTTCGCTAGAAAAGGTTAAAAAAGATTGGCCAAATCTTTTTTTGTCCTTTCCCTTAAATCGTACTTTGAGGTTTTCCTTATGACCCCAACTTAGATTTTGATCCACAACCGTAAGTTATTCAAGCGGGGCGTGGATGTGAATAATCACATTGAGGTACTTTCCACACACCATTTCCCCTGTAAAAAGAACTTAAAAGAAAAATGAATTGCGCTTAAAGGCCGCACAGTTGACTTAGGTCTATGACGTTGGTATTAGAGCAAGTTTAGGAACTCATCCAAGGTTCACATCCAGTTAGGAGTTAATAACCTATTAGGAAAAGACTCCTAATATGATACAAAGTCTTTTGACAGGTCCATGGTTATGGACACTAGGTTGGTCAAGGTGGAACTAACCATAGCAGATGCAAAAGAAAGGCTTAACTAAACAATATGTGGAGGAACTCGATGGCAAGATGGGGCACTAGTTGGGGGAGTTTTGTGAATCACTACTGAATGCCATGGATTCTATCGCTCAAGCACAATGTCTAGATGAATAAGGTTTTCCAACATAATGGCAGTATTGGGCCAATCGTCAAACTCGAGTGAGGAGATGAAATAGGTCTTAGATGAAGCTCAAGAAGATTGGCAATGACTAATAGCTGAATCATTGACAGGACCAATGTATGCAGTTCCAAGGTTAGGGCATCTCCAATCCAACGCTATTTTGGTGTACGTGAAAAAGANATGGCAAGATGGGGCACTAGTTGGGGGAGTTTTGTGAATCACTACTGAATGCCATGGATTCTATTGCTCAAGCACAATGTCTAGATGAATAAGGTTTTCCAACATAATGGCAGTATTGGGCCAATCGTCAAACTCGAGTTGAGGAGATGAAATAGGTCTTAGATGAAGCTCAAGAAGATTGGCAATGACTAATAGCTGAATCATTGACAGGACCAATGTATGCAGTTCCAAGGTTAGGGCATCTCCAATCCAACGCTATTTTGGTGTACGTGAAAAAGACCTCCAAAACCCAACGCCAATTTTTGCACCAATTTGGTGTCTATTTAAAGTGTCACGTCAAATTTGGTGTAATACTATTCATGCACACTAATTTGACATGGTACTATTCAAACAGTAAAAAAAAATATATTTTTTTAATTTTTGTTATTTAAATTTTGTTGTTTGTATTTAAGTTAATTTAATTATCATTTATATTAATATTTATAACAATAAATTCATAATAATTATATAATTCAAAAAATGATGAAAAAAAAAAAAAAACTTTATTCAATGCAAATATTAAACTACAATAACTCAAAATAAAAATTAACACTAATTTGATCGTAATGTTGATGTATCGATTGAGAATCAGATGGAAACACCAACTTCCAAAGTTGAAATTGTCGTAGATGAAAATGTTCGATTTCAAAATTTTCTTGCTCGATATAGATAAATCAAGGATACAGAGGCTTACCATGTTCTTTGAAATGCATTAATGGACCATTTGTGGGAAGAATAAATTAATTTGGAAAATTAAATTACTATCAATATGAAATTTTACTTTTGTGTTGTTGTTGTCTTTTTTTTTTTTTGGTATCATTTTATATTAGATGTAATGTTTATTTGCTTAAATAAATGTTTATTTTTATTAAATTAGTATAATTTTCAAAGTAATTATTATTTAATAAAAATATCATTCCCAATATTTAATTAATATATATGAAAATAGTGAGTAAAATAAATTAATTGTTGATTATTACAATAAAAGAAAAAAAAGAGAATATTTAAGGAATATTTTTTTTGATGTAATATTTAGTGTAATGAGTTGGAGATGCAATTGGGTTTCACACCAAAAACCATACCAATTTAGTATGAAACTTGCCCCAATTTGGTGCAATGAGTTGAAGATAGTCTTACAAGTGCTCAAACCTAAAAGTACAGGGGAAATGGGATGCCAATAGTCCTTATTAGAATCGAGTGAGGTTTGTTTAGAGATTTAGATAATGTTGAAAATTTTAGTAGGGTAAATTTAGAAGTGGAGTTTATTATNCTCTAATGTGATTGGTCAATAAAAGTTAGATATAAGGGTCATTTGGCATAAATTTTTCATATAAGGGCGTTTTGGTCATTTCTACCACAACATAATGATTAGCACTCATTTAATGCCATTTGACTTCTTTAAAACACTTAACAATTAAGCAATCCCATTAGGTAAATGACTAATTTACCCTTGGAGCACTTTTATGGATACTTATTTCATATGGATTTGTATGAAAAGACCATTATACCCTTGGTTACCGTTTACGCCATTTAACCATATCAATCAACTTTATGACCATTCTACCCTCATTTCTCTTCAATGACATCACCCCTTACACTTTATAATGGCCATATCTCAAAATACATGTAAATTGACCATTTTACCCTTCCATTCAAAAAAAGAAAATTACTTGAAAAGGTAAATTTCATACCTTAGGGCATCGGAATAATAACGCGGGGTTTACAGGATCGGATGATGAAGAAGTTGGTGCCAGACATGAAACAGGAGGAGGTGGACGACAAGAGTAGACTTTGATAGGAGCAAGATCAGAGATAGGAGCCGATGTAGGAAACGCAAGAATAGTGACAGGGTCAGAGACAGGAGTCGGTTTAGATATCGATGCAGGGGAAGTGAAGGTATAAACTAACAAATCATCATTATCATCATCCTTCTGATGATCTGCAAGAGAAGAGGGAAAGTATAGTGTTTCTTCTAGAAAGGCAACATTAATGGAAACAAGATACTTATTAAGACTCGGACAATAACACCGATATCCTTTATGAAATCGAGAATAACCAAGAAAGACGCATTTTAATGACTTGGGATCTAATTTAGTGACTGACGGTTGAACATCCCAAACAAAGCAAGTGCTACCGAAAACCCTAGGTTCAAGAGGAAATAATGCTTTGTTAGGAAAAATAATATTGTACGGGGTCTCACCATGAAGGATAGAAGACGGCATGCGGTTAATCAAAAAACAGGCGGTGGTAACTGCATCAGCCCAAAATGGTTTAGGAACATTCATTTGGAATAATAAGGCTTTGGCAGTTTCAAGAAGATGTCTATTTTTTTGTTATGCTATTCCGTATAGAGTTGGAGTATCAACAAATGAAGTTTGATGAAGAATGCCATTCTGAGTCATGTAATTTTGAAAAGAAACTGACAGATATTCTTTTGCATTATCACTGCGCAATATATGAACAAAAACATTGAATTGAGTTTTAATCTCAGTACAAAAAGCACATAAATAAGAAAACAAATCAGAACGATTTTTCATTAAAAATAACCAAGTCATACGAGAGTAATCGTCCACAAACGTAACAAAATATTGAAAACCAGTTTTAGACATAACTGGACAGGGACTCCAAACATCAGAGTGAACTAATTCAAAGGGAGAATTAGCTCTTTTATTGACTCTAGGACTAGAACTGACACGATGATGTTTAGCAAACTGACATGACTCACACTCTAATGTAGAAACTTTATTAAATCGAGGACACAATCTCTTCAGTGAAGGAAGAGATGGATGGCCCAAACGACAATGTGCTTGAAACGGAGATGCAACGCTAGAACAAGCGACAGGTGTAGATTTTGGTCTGTCGGGAATATATAAACCTCCAGATTCATGTCCTTTACTAGTAATCTTCTTCGTCGTAAGATCTTGAAACAAGCAATAATCAGGAAAGAATAAAACACAACAGTTAAGAGCACGAGTAAGTTGGCTAACAAAAATCAAATTGAAAGAAAAATCTGGTAAATGTCAGACATTTGACAAGGGAAGCTGTGCAGTAGGGGTAACTGTGCCAGACCCAGGAACGTAGGATGGTGACCCATCTGCTAAAGTCACATTCGAAAGGGTTTTTGATTGATAAGTAGCAAAGAGACTGGGATTACCTGACATGTGATCTGTTCCACTAGAGTTAATGACGAATTTGGAGGATGAGGAAAGGAGACATGTATTTGGCTTACCTGAGCCAACCATAGCCGTGACAAGAGTAGGTGAAGCTTTTAATGATTCCTGGTACAATGAAAACTTGGCAAATTCATCTGCAGAGGTAAGAACTGATTGATCCGAAGTATCATTAGTGGATGCAACATGGGCAAAGGGATTTCTTTTATTTATGTTCTGAAGCTTTCTACAATCACGCTTCATGT